ACACGCCGCAATATCTAGGACAGAAGCACTGTCCAAAATAACAATAAGCAGAGTTATTTAATGTAATATTACTTTGAATACTGTTGCAATCACCTTGTACTCATGTAGAAACAAATAAAACAATGTGGATTCCGAACCAATTCCTCTGAAACCAGTGTTTCATCCATCAGTATCAGACATGCATGGACATATTTCCGGGCAATCCATCACCTAAATTCCCAATCGATAAGATTTGGCCATCAATTCAGTTAGCCTCTTCTTGTCACAACTGACCAGACGAGCCAAGACACAGACCATCACTCAGAGTCTCCGCCCCTACATATACACTGCAACGGCAGTTCAAATGGCTACTGTGCAATTCAATTACACCCTTATCTGGTGAGCAAGGCTTAACCAAGTGGTAGGCCTCTGCAGGGTAGTGACTCTCGCTGCTCTCGTGTCGATGACTGTGCGATTTACATCCATAGATTCTCCTAATCAGGCTGGCTTCCCGAACATAATGACCAGTTTTACAAAAGGAATTTGTTTAAATTAAGCCACTCTGGTCATATCCTTGCTCCGATAGATCCAGGATTTTGGATAAGGGGCAGCACACTTGTGATGCCCAAAATAATGAAATTAACACTGGCATTCTGCATCTTTGGTTTACAGACACACAAAACATAAGGGTCGGAGTATGGTTCTCAGTAGGAAGCGAAAACATGGATTTCTTGTTTGTAATCAAATCTGTACCATACAATCCAGTGATTGATATTATGGGCATCAATCTAAGCAATTGGGATGCGATGACATGCATCAACCAAGTCAGCGAGCCTGACCACCCGATCCTGTTAGTCAACCTAACCTAACCTAATAGTCGCCTTTTAGCATGGGTTGCTGAAGACCTGTTCTGACCCTTATAACTCGTCACTATATGGCTGAGATACTGCCGATGTGACGTAAAACTTTAAATCACTCACTCACTCTCACCCTTATCTACACGAGCCTTCAGTAGAAAGTAACAACATAGAGTTGATAGCTTGCAGTATATACAAGATTGCTTTATACAGGTCAGCACATAGTGTTGGTGTTGTTGGTGTTGGTGTTGGTGTTGGTGTTGCCCCGAAGCAGTAAGCCTCACCTATGCTAGGTTACAGGTGAAACCTTATTTTTCTACTCTGTGAACAAATTGATAAGAAACTTATTCTCATCATATCCCTAGGTCAGAGGCACAGGTTGCGCTTGGAGGTCTATAACACTGAAGTTGGCAGAGTTGCATCCCTTTGCAATGCCAGGATCCCAGGATCTAAACCTGTTAGCATCATACCCTGGATTGTGGGTAAACGCCTTGTCTTTCCTTTTGCATGAGACTGACAAAGTATTTCTGAAATACTGTTCAAAGCAGCATTAAAACCAATGCACTCGTTCACTTACTGACAATATCTAAGAGTCGGTTTTGTACACAACCAATCTATAACAAACAATACATACAGTACAGAAATTGCATTTCATTACTCCTTGCTGTAGTAATCAATTTTATAAGTTTCATAGAAAGAGAAAACTTTTTAAATAACCAAATATCCAGAGTTATCTTGAATGAATTGAAAATAGATTTTGACATTATTTTCAAATTAATGCTCAATGGCTTATTTGTCAAATCATAAATCCATAACCATGATCAGAAGCAGGCCTCCCAAGGGTGAAGCTGGTAGTATTACAGCTGAGAGGCATTCGTCATGTCTTTGCCACCTGATTGACTTTAACATTACAAAATTAGCATTTGCAGAGGAGTCTCATTAACATGCTTCATATTACTGAAACACGGCCTTGTTTGAGGCCTACACTGGAGGGACTTACATGATTGTTACATTAGTCTGTCCCAGGGCTGTTCTGACAGTCTTTACTGTGGTGCTGGAGACGTTGAAATTGTTTACCTATTTAGTGCACATTTTAACCTCTTGGCCACTCAAGCACTGGCTGCTAAGTGAATCAGGAAAGCAATGAAGATTTTACTCATTCATATCTCAAGAGTCAGTGAGGTGAGGGGAAGATGGGTTTAAACCTTGCGTTCAAGTTTATTGCACTTCAAAAGCAATGTGAGTGTGTGGGTGCTTGTACTTGTCCAAACTTATGCACGTTTTATTTGCTGGCCCACTGAGATACCAAATCTCATTAAAATCAGATCTGAGGACATCCCATTACGGGTCACGTCAGCACGACCTTTCGCAAATTTTGACTGACCAATGGAATGACTGACAAGAAATCGACATTGGCCAATCAGAAGGCAGCTTTCTCGAGCTTTACGACACTAGTTTCAAACTGGCAACTACGCTTCGAAACAAATTTTGACGTATTCTCGGTTAAATTTTTTAAAACTGATAAGAAGAACATTCTGGAATGGCTTATAGATGGCAAAGATTGTATCGATATAATCATAAAACCTGTAACTGTCGTTCAGAATACCCCGTGTCAAATATATCCTGGTTGCATGATTAGAAAACACATTCCGACTGTCACTTTCATGATCTTGTAAGCGACGCTCTGATTGGTTGGATGAAAGGTCGTTCTGACCTGACCCGTAATGGGATGTCCTCAGATCTTTGTTTAGCGATAGCGAGAACTAAGATCTGATTTTAATGAGATTGCTGAGATACCATGCTACAGTTTAACATGGATAGTTATCCCTTTACTAGTTCAACGTCCCCTTCTAAAGGATTAAATTTCGTGGACACCCCACTTGGACACAGTATACTGACATGTTAGCTTGATATGGGAGGAAAGCTTGGAGTGAGTAGCAGATCCTGGAATGGTGCAGGGATGCAACTCTTTGCCGTGAACTGAACTCTATCCAACAATTTATTCTATTCCAACAATACCCTGATGAGGAATTACAAAAATGAACTTTGTACACATTTTTAGAATCAAACTGAGGTCTGGGGCTAGCCACACGACTACCTTACACTAACAGCCAACCGCACATGACAGTCTGTTTGATTGTCCATGGTTTCCAACACAATTTAAGTTTGGAATCCATCAGTATTTTAAGAGTCCAATAACTATCACATATGACATTGCCATGGGAATACCATTGGAATCTCAGCATCCTTGGCTGCATGCAATTTTATCATTAAAAACTGTGGATTAATCAAGCACCTCTCTCTTGAATGGGAACACTGAATGCACTCAATGGGATCCCTGAAATCAATGCATAATATCAGAAATTTGCTATTCACATGAACAATGGCGTTAATTACCACTGCTTTGGGTTAGCACTGTATTCGGAAAAGTCAACTTTACATTATATTGAATTTCGTTAAATCCTGAGATGGTGGTCCCCCATCAACAGAAGGCAATCGTTTGTCGGTGATTACATTGCATGTATTAACAGTGGCTATGCACAGTCCCATATTTGGAGAAGTCGAAGAAGAGATGTGAACAACAAATGCGAACAAATGTCTACTTGGCCTGTGAGTGAGTGAGTGAGTGAGTGAGTGAGTGAGTGGGTTTAGGTGGTTCAGTGAGTGAGTGAGGGAGGGAGGGAGGGAGTTCATCCTTGAGTTCCAAGGAATCACTTTTCATGGGTTTGAATCCAGACTCCATGAAAATTTAATTTGAACTCTGACCATGAGTCCTTGACAAAACTAAGGGATGGCATTATGCAATCCCCCCACTCTGTATCATAATTGAGTCTGGACCAAACAATCCAGAGACTGATATCATGAAAAACAATCCATGCCATCGGGGTGCGATGACACACTATGAACCAAGTTGTCAAGCATGACCACCCCATCCACTTGGTCATCAGTGAAAAAGACTGCGTGAAAGAACTTTGTTTGATCACTAAACTGTTGTCAACATAATTTGTACACATTTTTTAACATTAGGACAGAGAGGTATATTCAGTGAGGCTTGTAAATCTGGATGGCACCCCTCTGAATAAAATTGTCTGGATTAACAAAATTCCGGAACAACAAATCAACAATCAAATTTTCTGAAAAGTTGTTATCCAAAATGCAGGTTCCTGAATAAACAAGGTCTGTACTAACAAGGTTTTTTCTGTGTGTAGAATTAACCAGTATCTGTAACAGTACATTTCAACATTTTGACTACTGTTGATTTATTGATTTATATTGCAATTCTGCATGATGTTAATCTGACAATGTGTGACATTATAGTCGTGCATCTTGCTACTTAGACTACACATGACATGACAATGGTGCAAGACATCACAGTGCTTTATATGACATCACAATTACAGCACCATGTCAGTCTGACTCTATTTGACATCACTCTGACTCTGTGTGACATCACAAAACCTTATGACATCACTCTGACTCTGTGTGACATAACAAAACTGTATGACATCACTCTGACTTTGTGTGACATCACAAAACCTGATGACATCACTCTGACTCTGTGTGACATAACAAAACTGTATGACATCACTCTGACTTTGTGTGACATCACAAAACCTTATGACATCACTCTGACTCTGTGGGACATCACAAAACCGTATGACATCACTCTGACTCTGTGTGACATCACAAAACTGTATGACATCACTCTGACTCTGTGTGGCATCACAAAACCGTATGACATCACTCTGACTCTGTGTGACCTCACAAAACCGTATGACATCACTCTGATTCTGTGTGACATCACAAAACCGTATGACATCACTCAGACCTTATGATGCTTGTTAAAAAATATTTTTCTAATATTACACCAGTTGAGCTAATGGTGAACAGATGTGACCAGAAAGTCTACACTATCACTTATACTAAAGGACACGGACAGGAAAAATCAATATCTTAAAAAGCAACAGTTGAACATTAATATCTCACAGATCCACAACAAATCATGAAGCTGCCTTCAAGGGCTATCGCTCCTAAAAAACATGACAACTTATTATATATGATCACATCATTTGAATCACCCATCTTGTCTTTCCTTCAGCTTTGATTTTGCCAAAAGGGTTTTGATAAATGTCACAGCAGGAGTATACAATATTTATGTCTCACCATCAAAGATGTCGTAGATGATGATTCATATCAAGATATTTATTTCTGCGATGACTTTCTCCCAGATCCGACGTCTTCTATATCAAATGGGAGATGTCTGGAAAGAGAAACAGATCCGATTTTGATTACACTGTACAAACTGACTAATATGATATACGAGGGTGAGTAGAGAATTCTCTGTGTCTGGGTATGTCAACAATTTGTAATAGATGTATCTAGAATCTTGGAGAGATGGACTCTCTGTACTCAGGACTAAGGGTCAAACTACTGCTTTGATCAACTGAGTTAATTACCAAAATCAACATATTATTACTCCTTCTCTACAAACTGTTTCACTTCCAGGATAGAAAAAATATTAAATTGGTGATAAACTAAATCCCTGAAAGAATTTTTTTTTATTGACTCACCTACCAACCAGTCACCACTAACCCAACATCCCATGCCCTCCAACCACCATATCTCTCCTCCTCCCTCATTGCCACTAGTAACTAACTGAGGTGATGGACCCACCTACCACCCGGCCCCACTTCCTCCAACCACCATATCTCTCCTCCTCCCTCATTGCCACTAGTAACTAACTGAGGTGATGGACCCACCTACCACCCAGCCCCACTCCCTCCAACCACATATCTCTCCTCCTCCCTTATTGCCACTAGTAACTGACTGAGGTGATGGACCCACCTACCACCCAGGCCCACTCCCTCCAACCACCATATCTCTCCTCCTCCCTCATTGCCACTAGTAACTAACTGAGGTGATGGACCCACCTACCACCCAGCCCCACTCCCTCCAACCACATATCTCTCCTCCTCCCTTATTGCCACTAGTAACTGACTGAGGTGATGGACCCACCTACCACCCAGCCCCACTCCCTCCAACCACATATCTCTCCTCCTCCCTTATTGCCACTAGTAACTAACTGAGGTGATGGACCCACCTACCACCCGGCCCCACTCCCGCCAACCACCATATCTCTCCTCCTCCCTTATTGCCACTAGTAACTAACTGAGGTGATGGACCCACCTACCACCCAGCCACACTCCCTCCAACCACCATATCTCTCCTCCTCCCTTATTGCCACTAGTAACTAGGTGATGGACCCACCTACCACCCAGCCCCACTCCCTCCAACCACCATATCTCTCCTCCTCCCTTATTGCCACTAGTAACTAGGTGATGGACCCACCTACCACCCAGCCCCACTCCCTCCAACCACCATATCTCTCCTCCTCCCTTATTGCCACTAGTAACTAACTGAGGTGATGGACCCACCTACCACCCAGCCCCACTCCCTCCAACCACCATATCTCTCCTCCTCCCCTATTGCCACTGGTAACTAGGTGATGGACCCACCTACCACCCGGCCCCACTCCCTCCAACCACCATATCTCTCCTCCTCCCTTATTGCCACTAGTAACTAGGTGATGGACCCACCTACCACCCAGCCCCACTCCCTCCAACCACCATATCTCTCCTCCTCCCTTATTGCCACTAGTAACTAACTGAGGTGATGGACCCACCTACCACCCAGCCCCACTCCCTCCAACCACCATATCTCTACTCCTCCCTTATTGCCACTAGTAACTGACTGAGGTGATGGACCCACCTACCACCCGGCCCCACTCCCTCCAACCACCATATCTCTCCTCCTCCCTTCTTGCCACTAGTAACTGACTGAGGTGATTGACCCACCTACCACCCGGCCCCACTCCCTCCAACCACCATATCTCTCCTCCTCCCTTATTGCCACTAGTAACTGACTGAGGTGATGGACTGATGGACTTTTAACCAGTCATCAAACACAATTGTATTCACATCAAGAGGCAAGTTTATAAAACATTAATTGTAAAACCTAGGTATTACAATTGAAATGTTGTCATCAGGTCGATATTGCCTGCCTTGGAAGTTTATCAACATTCAGAAGAGCCTTCTGTTACTGTAGTGTGACATCATCAGAGGTTTAAAAAGAGGGTACCCGGGTAGGGTCGAGAAATAGGGGGTTGGACACCCTGGTAGTAAATTTGGACTCATCCCAGCCCTTGTGTCAAATATTGCTCAGTTTCACATTAAAGAAAAATATATAATGATACACTTAAGGGAATAATAAACTGCTGGGTGTGAAGGGCATTGTGTGTGTTCACCTCGGGTGTTTTAGTCAAGTCTATAGGACTACAGGTCATGGGTCTCTGACCATCCTGGTTACAAAGACACATCACAGGGCTGCTATTGGACCACTGGGATGCTGTGTCTGGGACAAAGCATCGGTTATTTCACCTGGGCTGACAGAATGCTGTATAACATCCACAAGGCACATGTATATGCAGCTGTATCACCCTGGTGACTTGGGAGCTGCTAGTCATCTATTATTCATGTCACAGTCGCTCAAAGACAAATGCTGGGTAATAAGGCATATATATGCAGGAATATTATACAGATGGAACATTAAAGATCAGCATCAACCAACGATTCCTTCATGCCACTTTGCTCTCTGTGATAAATGATGTTTAAGTATGAAGGCATATATGTGTAGATTACATGAACTGTTACGAATCATGGTTATATATGTTTCAGAGCACTCTGTTTCCATGGCAACCAAATTTCTTTATGGATATGAGAAATATGAATTTGACCATTTAACACTGCGTGATGTTGTATATTGGTGATCATATATGGTTCATTATAAGAAGTTAAGTGAAGAATATCGAACAATGGTTGCATAGTTACCTTGGTAACCAGATTGCAATAAATAGAGAAAATCTTGCCAAAGTTTCCTCCTGAAAGAGTGTGTGAATATGGGTGGAATATAATAATGTTTCTTCAATGTTATGAAACCTGTGGGTCATTTTGTCTTTGTTTATTCAATTCAATTGATGATGTATCCCAAACAAAAAGGTTAAAGAACGCTCAATTCTTTCATATTATAATAGTTGATAATCATGCCATGACAGATTAACTGTAGTAATATGAAAGAATCGGGTGTACTTTAACTTCTTTTGAGTAGTAGTGGGCATGGGTGGCCCAGCCGTCTGAGGCGTCGCGATTCGCTGTGCAGAGTTGCGTCCCTTGGACACACCAGAAACCTATGATTGTGGGTTCGAATCCCGGTTCGCCCAGATTGTGTTTCTAGGTTTGTCAGCACCATCTCGTGGGTTTCACCGAAAGATAAATATCTGAGACCTGCATCACTTCAGGCTTTCCTCCCACATAACGCTGACACGCCGCAATATATATATATATATATACTGTTAAAAGCGGCGTTAAACCCAACTCACTCACTCTTTTGAGTAGTATCTAAACCTGTGGTTAATAGTGTGAGCACAAATCAGCTTGGTACAGAGCTGTGTGGTATATCATGTCAGCCACAATCAAAGCATTAATTATACACAGTCGTCATCGGAAATGCATGACAATGCTGGAACCGATATAATCTGTACATGGAAAATCTGTTTATGTGAGGGGATGTGGGGTAGGCCAATGGTGGAAGCATTTGTTTGTCGCACTGAAGCCCAAAGATTGATTCTCCACAAAGGAACAATGTGTGATACCTATGTTTGGTGTCCATGCCATGATGTTCCTGGAATATTGCTGAGAGCACCAAAAACACACAAATACTCACAAACTCACTCACTGTTCATGTGATCTAGTTAAACATTCATAATGCACAAAATACATACAATAAAATAATAAATATGCAAGAATGTATTAACATGTAACATTGTCATTGGAAAATAGTGGAATCTCAACATGGCTCTCAGCTAAAAATAGATTCATCAGAAAAGACTGCAACAAGAAACTCCCTTACAGTTTGTTTAACATTAAAAAACAACAACTTAGTGGGAACTACTGAGATATTTACCCAAATGAATATGTGAAAGTAAAAACAAACAGAAATAGAAAACAAAATGTAAATATGATCTTTCTTACATGAGTACCTGAATTCCTGGTGCAGTTTCAAGAAGTATATCAACTGAATCCTGTTTAGGCCATAACAAATTAATAATTTTCATTGCCACCTGCCACCTGCCACACTGCCACACTGACTGACCCGGTCTTCGGTGTGGCGAGCAAACGCTTTAACCACTAGGCGACCAGACCACCCCACCTGCCACAGATTTTATTTAAAAATACAAAATATGACAAAACTAGAGATGTTTGCAAGTACTTGCCAAGAACAGAAGCAGCCCCGTCACTGGCATTTCCCAAAGCTTAACATACTATCATGTACATCCAGTCCAAAAACATTACTTCCAAACCATGACCTTATTAAGAAACCCCATTAAGATCCAACAATTACCCAAGGCTCAGGATTGTACAAGTGAAAGTGCAACAATTACCCAAGTCTCAGGATTGTACAAGTGAAAGTGTAACAATTACCCAAGTCTCAGGATTGTACAAGTGAAAGTGCAACAATTACCCAAGTCTCAGGATTGTACAAGTGAAAGTGCAACAATTACCCAAGTCTCAGGATTGTACAAGTGAAAGTGTAACAATTACCCAAGTCTCAGGATTGTTCAAGTGAAAGTGCAACAATTACCCAAGTCTCAGGATTGTAAAAGTGATAGTGTTACAATTACCCAAGTCTCAGGATTGTACAAGTGAAAGTGCAACAGTTACCCTAGTCTCAGGATTGTACAAGTGAAAGTGTAACAATTACCCAAGTCTCAGGATTGTACAAGTGAAAGTGTAACAATTACCCAAGTCTCAGGATTGTACAAGTGAAAGTGTAACAATTACCCAAGTCTCAGGATTGTACAAGTGAAAGTGCAACAATTACCCAAGTCTCAGGATTGTACAAGTGAAAGTGTAACAATTATCCGAGTCTCAGGATTGTACAAGTGAAAGTGTAACAATTACCCAAGTCTCAGGATTGTACAAGTGAAAGTGTAACAATTACCCAAGTCTCAGGATTGTTCAAGTGAAAGTGCAACAGTTACGAGCAATAAATGATAGTCATGTTTCACAATAACCTTGACCTTATAGATGTTCACAGCAGCATCAATAGATGTAACCATGAATCAGAAATGACATAACCATGTTTCATAAAAAGCAGAAAGCTGATCTCGATTTTTGTCTCATTTTAAACTAAACCTATCCAAAG